TAAGTCTGGGGAATATATATATATATATATATATATATATATATATATATATATATATAAATTAATTGATTTAAAAATTTTTTTAAAATATTTTTTTTTTCGCTACACAGTTCTAAATTTACATTGAGCACTATTTTCTTAAAATAAAAAATATCTATAAGAACACCGGATTATATATCTTACTGTTCTTTCTTTATATATATATATATATATATATATATATATATATATATATATATATATATATATATATATTCGCAAAAATAAACGGTGTCAAGAACTTGAAAACTGCGGTGTGTCAGCACATTTATCACCCCCCCTGCACGAAGCAGGGTTGGGGTTGAGATAAAAAAGCAACTTTACGCGTTAGCAGCTGTAAATAAACTGAATTTGTCTGCGTCTTTCGTCACTGTATGGGGTGACATCATTAAGCTACCGTTAACGTGACTTATCTCAACCAAATAGAGATAATCGTCTTCTGCGTCTAAGTTGATAGGCATATTAATAAGTGTGACAATCTCTCCACGGTGCACTATTTTTACTTTATTCCACAGGAATTGATAGCTACCTGCTTCCATACACGATAAAACATGCGTGAAAGAAAGTTTATAAGGGCCTTAACAGGCCTAGGGAAATAAGAAGAAACGACAGACAGAAAATAAATGTAACATAGGTAATGCAGCAAGGTGAAGCAAGCAGAAGAAGCCATAGAAACAGTTAACAGCACGGAGATTTGGTTTAAGGTCCCAGGTTCTACCCCCAGGATTATCCTACCAGAGCCTAGTGGATTACGGATATTCTTAAATTTGGTGACATAGTAATTTGGTTTCTCTCTCTCTCTCTCTCTCTCTCTATATATATATATATATATATATATATACAGGGTGTTTCAAAAAAATTGATATCCTTTGAGATGTAAATATCACAGAAAGAACATGATTAAGGCAAATGAAATTAAAAAGTATTAATGTTGAAGATCATAAGATTTATTCTTCCAAATCTGAATGAGAAATTGAAAAGCATGTGGATTATGTGAACGATTTCACAAATGTTCAATATGCGAACCGCCTGAGACACAGCATTTTTATACCTGGAAAGAAAAAGATTAAAGGACATAAAAATACAAATAAGAAAAACACAAAAACATAAAGACATAAAAACATAAAACAAACATTAAACATAAAGATGCTATTAAAATTTGAAGTCATTTGAAGGAGATCTAACAAAGTTATTAGATTGCGAAATGATATCAAATTTTTTGAAACACCCTGTATATATATATATATATATATATTCCAAAAGGGCTTGGGTAATTTGATACCCACAGAACAAATTGAAGGCAAGACGGACAGAGAAAAACGACGCATAAACTATGTAACGAGCATAAGCATTTATTAATTATTACAAAGAACAGGAAATTATGGAGAGCCATGACCATAAACTTCCTTGATGTGCCCCATCGAGCGAAATAAAGGGTTCAGTTCGACATTCCAACCAGCTGAAGGTTGCCGGATCGTACCACAGCAGAAACGTTGTGAGAAATGTGGCGACAAAGATGAGGACGATAGTCCAAATAATGTAAATAGTGTACATAATACCTCATCTCAGAAATATAGACAGATACTGAAGGGCCGAAACGTTTTGATAAATATGGCGACAAAGATGAGAACAATTGTCCGAATAATGTAAATCATGTACATAATACTTCATCTCAGAAATATAGACAGATATTGAAAGGCCGAAACGTTGTAATAAATATTGCGACAAAGATGAGAACAATAGGCCGAATAATGTAAATAACGTACCTAATACCTCATCTCAGAAATATAGACAGATACTGAAGAAGGCCGGAGCGTACAACGGCCGAAACGTTGTGACAAATATGGCGACAAAGATGAGGACAATAGTCCGACTAATGTAAATACTGAACTTTTCTAGTGTTTTGCTTTATTTTGGGGTTAAATATTTGCCCATAGATATAGGCCATAACAGGTGCTACTACCGCGGGTTACGAAGGACCTGGGAACCACGGCAATTAAAAAGTGGCTCCACCATCCTCAAAACCTCCAATCTCCTGATCAGAGGTCTTACTGACGGTAGGATGAACCTGGAAACAACAGCAATTTGGAGGTTGATGCACGCTTCGGAAAACCTCCAAACTCCCGATTAGAGGCCTTTCTTCCGGAAATGTCGACCTGGGAACAACAGCAATGATAAGATGATTTTACGCGCTCCTCAAAACCTATAATCTCCCGATCAGACGCCTTTCTGCCGGAAGGGTAGGCCTGAGAACAAAAGCAATGAAGTGATAGTTCCACGCTCTTCAACACCGCCAATCTCCCGGTCAGAGGCCTTGCACTGGAAGGTTAGACCTAGGAACAACGGCAATAGGTTCTAGGCTCCTCAAACCATTCAATCTTCCGTTCAGAAGCCATACTGCCAAAAGGTTGGACCTGGGAACAACATTAACATTTAACCCCAAAATAAAGCAAAACACTAGAAAAGTTCAGTACTTACATTAGTCGGACTATTGTCCTCATCTTTGTCGCCATATTTGTCACAACGTTTCGGCCGTTGTACGCTCCGGCCTTCTTCAGGTTCCTCAAGGACACATGGCACAGTGGATAAAGGCGTTGGTTAGATCCAGTGACAGATCCAAAGAAGGTGAGTTCAATTCCTGGTTAAGACAGTGGAGAACTTTCAGAGGGAAATTAACAGGAGATAACTGATAACTGACATCCATCAAACATGGCACGTGGAACTAGAACAGTCTACCCCAGTGATCGAAATAAAGGGTTCAGTTCGAAATTCCAACCACCTGAAGAAGGCCGGAGCGTACAACGGCCGAAACGTTGTGACAAATATGGCGACAAAGATGAGGACAATAGTCCGACTAATGTAAATACTGTACATAATACCTGCTATTTTACCCATAGCTGGAGGGAGATGAAGAGGATACATACCTTTCCCAAGGGTATTAGCACGTAAGTGAATGCAGTGGATTCGACTGGAATTCGAACTCTGCTCTGCGATTCCTCAATCCAAGCCGCTATCCACTGCTCCACCGTACTATATATATATATATGGGTTATTTAATGCCGACAACATTTTTATTGCTGGTAATATGGTTTTCTTCAAAAATCTATTTCTGGGAATATTTTGATGAAATCTATAGCTGGTCATATTTTTTTCAAAGAATGTATAGCTGTTTATATTGCTGGTATTTTTTTTTAAGTATTGCTGATAATATATTTTCTTTTAAAAATTATTGCTGGTAATAATTTTTCTTTATTACAAAGTATTTCTGGTATTAAAACTTATTTCTACAAAAGTTTGGGTGTTAACTATTTATCCATAGTTGGAACCCTAACGGGTGCTACCACCCCGGGTTAGGATGGATCTGCGAGCACCAGCAAATAAGAGGTGGTCCCACGCTCCTCAAAATCTCCTGATCAAAGGCCTTGCTGTTGGACGTAGTTTATCGTCATACCCAGGACTAATAATAACCCTCGCTGCACAGGAACAAAGCTAACGAAGTAAAATTTGCCAATCACACATACTAAAAAACTGTGTTGATCCGAATTGCAAATTCTGTGATAATATCCAGGTGCTTACGGCCACATCACGTCGAAACATTGCTGAAGTTTAAGCAACATTGAGCCTGGTCAGTACGAAGATGCGTTAAACTTGGATCTGAGGGTGGTGTAATGGACAATGGCTCGGAATTATTAATCAAAGAGCCGAGTTTCGATCCCAGTCTTTTTCATTATCTTCGTTTATACGCAAATACCCTTTAGGGAAAAGATATGCATTCACTTATTACCCCCACTCCAACACACACACACACACACCTATGGGACAGCTGCATCTTCAATGATGACAAGCAACGTTTGTATAATGACTTATGATTTTTTGGAGATTTATATATTTTTATATTGGAAAAAATGTTTAAATATAACTTGAAGAAGACAGATATTCTGTAGAAACATTGTTTAACATTGTCAAAGAATTTTTTTTCTTTTCTTCAATCGCACTCTTTTCTTAAGTGTTGAAAAATATTGGAAGGGTTACGTCAATGTTTTTGCTTAATAATAATAATAATAATAATAATAATAATAATATCAGGTTGCACGACATTGGCACCCACTGAATATGAAACCCGGCATGACAGAGTGGGCCAATATCTGCACTCGAAAATCTGCAACTTCTACGGGAAGGAAACTGAAAAAAAAAACTGGTATGAACACCACCCAGACCCGGTTACGGAGATAGGACCTGTTACAATTCCTATGGGACTACACAATACACACTGACAGAACAATCAAAGCGAACCGCCCAGATATTGTTATTAAAGACCACAAACAAAAACGGTGCCTCCTTATTGATATGGCAGTCCCTGCTGACTGCAATGTATATTTGGAGATATTCAAAATACAAGGACCTTGAAATAGAAATCTCAAAAATGTGGCACATGGGAACATCAACAATCCCTGTTGTAGTTGGAGCCCTAGGATTGGTTGGAAAAGATTCCAGCAGACTAATTGAAGGGATTCCTGGAAGTCCATGCCTCAAGGATATACAAAAAATTGTTCTGACAAGTACAGCCCACACTTTACGAAGGTCTTTATCTATGTAATTTTTTTTTTTTTTTTTTGTCAGTGGAAAGTGTCATGATGCCATCTCTAAGCTTAGGTCCCTGGGCGGGACCCGGAAAGAAATGTGTAAACGCCAGAAATCAAAAAAAAAAAAAAAAAAAAAAAAATAATAATAATAATAATAATAATAATAATGATAATGATAAAATAATAATAATAATAATAATATTAATAATATTAATAATAACCGTTTCTAGCCTTTTTTTTCGATTAGTTTGTCATTACTTTCACGTTGTTTTGTCGAGATTCTGTATCTTTCTCTCCTTTCTATCCTTGCCACTGTTGCTCTTCGCGATGTCATCATTATAGAACAATATGGCCGCCGGCATCAGTAATCAAACGATAATGGATTCTCTTCTTCCAATTCCGTACCTCCACGCCATGAAGAGTTCCACGACTGCTAAATATTCAACCGAATCTATTCAACTGTTTCTTGTTAACCGAGACACGCAAACTATAACCACCTTGTCTATTGCTGAACACAACTCCGTGCTCTGCTCAGCGCCTGTATCTCCTCGCATGTTATCACCTTACTCTCCTCCACTTTTGCATGCTACCTCCTTGCTCTTCTTCCCGTTCGTCTCCTCTTCTTTCGACTCGATAAACCGGCTTGCAAAGTAAATAATTCTATACTTACCTGCGAGCCTTTTCCAAACATTCCAATTTGCTGTGTTCCATTTCTCTTTTTCGTTTCATCTTTTATTTTCATCGATTAATATTTTTCATTTTTCTAAGTTTTGATACTTTTTTGTTTTTACAGATTTCGAATTTTTATTTCTTTTAAATCGTTTTTTTTTTGTTTATTGGATTTTTATTTTCATCATTCCATCTACCGTTTCTCTTTTTTCTTTAGCTCTTTCTTTCTAGCTGAATACTTACTGATCCATCTATCTATCTATCTATCTATCTATCTATCTATCTATCTATCTATCTATCTATCTATCTCAGTCTGTTCATTATCTATCTCACTCTGTTCATATCTATCTCAGTCTGTTCATATCTATCTATCTATCTACTTATATATGACTATCTATCTATCTATCTATCTATCTATCTATCTATCTATCTATCTATCTATCTATCTATATATATATATATATATATATATATATATATATATATATATAATATTAGTGGTAAATATATACATACATATGCAATCATATATCTAAAATATATAAATATATATACATACATACACATACATATATATATGTATAAAAAATAATTCCAAACGGATAGAATCCAGGTAGAACTCAATGTCCAGGACAGAGTAAGGATATAATAAAAAGGCTTAAACACTAATATTCCCTGGTCATAATTTATTCCACTGGAATCGTAAATACGGTCCAATTCACCGGAAAAGAGTATACATTTTATGGTGACATACACACACAATAGACGATATAATCTTAAAGATCAGAAGATGAGAGAGGGAGAGGAAAAGAAAAGAAAAAGGGGTGGGAGAGAGAGATGGGGTGGGGGAACTAAAACCGAAGCGCATTTATAAAAGGGCCGCTGTGTAATCAAGAAAATTTGACAAAAGTAATATCGACTACAGGTTATAAATCTAATATAAACATATAAAAAAACAAACATAACGATTATCTAATCTATCAAGGGCCTATATTTCTATGTCCAAAAACACATGCGTATACACACATGCACAATAACATATTTATATTTACACGTATATACATACATATACACGTCTATCTTTAATGTATTAGACACCCGAGAACATTCATATTTCTCTCACTTAAACCTTCTTTGACTCCCCTCTTTAAAACTTCTCTCTGTTAAATTTTAATCCCCGCCTTCATCTTTAGACCTTCCTGTTCTTCTCGCGTCTGTTACCCCTCCCTATAGCTTTCATTTACTCTAACATTCGTCCCACACTCTCATACATACACTCTCACTAAATTTTATTTTTTTATTCCCTGAGTTGTTTTTTCTATTTTCTTATTGAATTTGTAGGTCTGATGAATTGGATCGTATTTACGATTCCAATGGAATAAATTATGACCATGGAATATTACAGCTTAAGCCTTTTTATTATATATAAATATCTATATATATATATATATATATATATATATATATATATATATATATGACTATCTATATATCTATCTCCCTCTCCTATATCAATCTATCTATGTATGTATATTGCCATCCGCAGACGGATTATTTCGCTGTTTCACAGCTCATCAGTGTGGCTAGGCTTCCGATTGCCTCAAGACGAGATCGAAACCATACTGACCTGGGTTTTGCCCATAAGCCATTGGCGGCAGGGATGAAGGGTATTTTAGACGTATTTATTTTTAGACACACACGCCTGTGATCTGTGACCTCAATTCTTCTTTACGAAGACCCTTGCATCAGCAGCATTAATAGTCATTGTTTACAAATTCACATACCTCTCTCTCTCTCTGTGTATATATATATATATATATATATATATATATATGTCTGTTCTTATGTATCTATTTATCTATATATACCTATTCATATATATATATATATATATATATATATATATTCATACCTTTCCCTCCAGCTATGGGTAAAATAGCAGGACAGACTGGGTTCTATAGCCTTGGATGGCAACTCGTCTAGGAGAAGGTCAACTCTGAATTCAAAACCTGCGGAGGGTCGTTTGGGAACCTTGTGGCATTCGGTGCACCAGGTCTCTGTATTCGTCCCTTCAAAAAGTGTGGATGGTCCTGCACGAAACTTTCACATCTATAATCAATTCTCATGTGCCGGTGTCGGGCTGTCGGTTTCCTGAAACTGATCTGCTTGACCCTCATACGTCGAATCTCGACGGTAAAGTCGATTATTATATATATATATATATATATATATATATATATATATATATATTATTTAATTAATTCATTGAGTCTGATATAAACCTCTACAGAATGCAGGAAGCACTGGACGGCCGTTTCGTCCTATATTTGGGACTCATCAGCAGTGCGCATCCACTACCGAGTATCGAGCCCTGACAGCTAATATTAGCTAGTATTAGTGGTAAATATACACATACATATGCAAAATATATAAATATATTTACATAGGTGTATACACATACATGTATATTTTTTGAATAAAAAATTCCAAGAGGATAGAATACAGGTAGAACTCAATATAATTCCAATGGAATAAATCATGACCATGGAATATTAGTGTTTAAAGCTTTTTATCATATATATATATATATATATATATATATATATATATATATATATATATATATATATATATATCTTATGTATCTATTTATCTGTATATATACATATATCATATATATGTATATTTATATATCGCTATATATATATATATTTATCTATCTCTCTATCTTTCTATCTTTGTATCTAATATCTATCTATCTACTGCCTCCTATTTGTCGAGTATGACCATCGCATCATTGCGAGACTCATATTTGTGACTTACAATATCAAACAATGACTATGCATAGTAAAAGACGATGGACTCTCCCAGTTCCACTCTCAAAGCCTGGATCGCATGGATCCAAATAGAAGAACCAGGCAATATCATAAGATACAATTCTAGTTAGATAATTACATAAGACAATGTGAATCTTAATCAGACTTTATATAAACAAAACAAATAAGCAATTATCTTTTCATTCTATCAGAAAATAAACACACCATTTACTTTCCAAATTTATGGATAGTAAACCATATAGTGAGTAATTAAAATAACGAATTTTAGAGTCAAGATGTGATCAAAAGTAGTGAAAATGATTTACCTGTTCCACAAATGGAGTTATTTTATTAGGACAACGACGAACAAAAGACTCGAAACCTTGCAGACAATATTCCCGTAATTTGTCATCTTCATTCCAAGAACCAACTACAAGAGGAACCATTTGGTCAAGGTATTCACCAAATCGGTGACCAGACTGACGGCTAGGGTAAAAACTATGCAATATAATAAAGATCAGAGAAAAACTGAATTCAGAACTGCTGTTGCTATGAGGTTGGTGCAAAAATAATGACGTAATAATGTCGTTTTTGATGTATTTTTAACGTCAAAAAACGACATTATTACGTCATTATTTTTGCACCAACCTCATACTAAGACAGATTCCATAAAAACAAAAAACAACTGTAAAACTTCAGATGTAAAATATCAATAGAGAATGAAATACATGCCACAAAATATTTACAATTTTTTTTTTTTTTATAAATGTACAAAATCTGAATTACCTCGCCATATTCAGGTTATTAATTTGGCTTTTTACAGACAGCATGAAGAGACAAAATTCACTGTTTCCATTTGTCGGGCGCCTCGACACCAACTTATTTATTTATACATCCCTCATCATCATCTTGCGGCCTCAGCCGAGATTGAACTCACCAATACTTTGATTGGTGTAGTTCATAATCTTGTCAAATAGCTGAATTCTTGATGCTTCGCTAGGGCTATCAAGGGTGTTTTTTTATCGTGACACCATCACTAAATGGATTGCCAACCAAGGCCCAGAGAGACTCCATTCACCCTCATCTAAGAGCAGGTTTGAATTCAGAGTTTTCATTCTCCTAGACCAGTTGCCATCCAAGGCTATAGAAGCCAGTCTGTTCTGGTATTTACCCATAGCCGGAGGGGAGAAGAAAGAGGATTGGATTCAACTATATTCGAACCTTTCCCAAGGGTGTTAGCCACGTAAGTGAATATAATGGATTCGACTAAATCAGGAATTCGAACATTCGACTGGCACCCTTCCTCAATCCGAGCAGCTATCCATTACCTCCTTTCCCCAGGGTATTAGCACGTAAGTGAATGTAATGATTCCTCAATCCGAGCGGCTATCCATTACTCCACAGTGCCTCCTTTTTATTATAAATTATAATAAATTGTTTTGTTTGTGTTAATAAATAAATCAGGAGAGAAGAAGAGGATTCATACCTTTCCCACTCGGCTCTGATTCCTCAATCCGGGTCCATTAGCACGTGCCTCCTTTTATTATAAATGTAATGGATTCGACTGGAATTCGAACTCGGGATCTCTGATTCCTCAATCTGATTCGGCTATCCATTAGTCCTCCTTTTATTATAAATTATAATAAATTGTTTTGTTTGTGTTAATAAATAAATCAGGAGAGAAGAAGAGGATTCATACCTTCCCAAGGGTATTAGGTGTGTAAGAAAATCTCCCTCTCTGATTCCTCAATCCGAGCGGCTATCCAAAATGGGAGGAGAGAAGAAGAGGATTGTAAGTGAATGTAATGGATTCCCGAACTCGGCTCTCTGATTCCTCAATCCGAGCAGCTATCCATCTTTTCGAAATTATGAATTCTTTTTTTGTGTTAATTCAGGGAGAGAAGAAGAGATTCATACCTTTCCCAAAGGGTATTAGCATCGTAAGATGTAATGGATTCGATGGAATTCGAACCATCTCTATTCCTCAATTGGCTAAAAACCCTGATAGAAAATCTCCCCACAATACAAAATGGATTTAATCACCGATATGAGTATATAGCCATCTCTATCGCTTGAAAAGCCTGATAGAAGAATCTATTTAGTCACCGATAACCCGAGCGTACAGTTCATACTACTGGGTTATATAGTACCAGTAGACAATACATTCTGTTTACAACATCTTACTCAGATGAGAGCCGTCCTTGAGCCATTTATTATGACTTCCGTTTCGTTTTGGCGTCCATGGCCCTTAAGATGATTCTTGAGCCGAGCTTGGGATGTTCGTATGTATCAGTTCTATATGACAGATAAATTCTATATCCTTGAATTGGTTCTTTGGATCTTGATGCTCTTAAACCCATCAGTGTACCATAGTTGGCACGCTTCTGTTTTTTTTTTATGATGATGATCTTTCAAATAACCTACCCTCGACAACAGTATGCGCTCACACAGCACATATACAAGACCGCATATTAGCTGGCAAATCAGAGTGAGTTGTCAGCTAATTGTTGTCAGATGGATCTAGTGTATTTTTTTTTTTTTATAGCAGCAAGTACTTTCAAGGACTTCATGTCCTCATCGTCAAGCTGTAATTTTTTTCCTTTAGAATCAAAACTTGAAGACGAAATAAATGTGTTGTAGACCGAAAGATGTTTTTTTTTTAAGAATGTGCCATTTGTTAACAGTTGTATAATATTGGAACGTGCAAGTCGCAACGCTAAAGTTCAAATATTTCAAGTGAGAATTTTTATATGAATTTTGTAATTTGGTAAATACACTAGATCCACCTGACAACAATTTAAGGATTACATCATTCAGTGGATTGATAGTAGTTTAATGCTTATATTAAGTCTATTAGCGAAGAAATTTCGCCATTAATCGTATTAATATTGCTAATTGACTCAATGTATGATTATTTCTTTATAATATACTAGCAGAATGGCCCGGTGTTGCCCGTGCTTGATTCAAAAATCGTACGACTCATACAGCAATCGCTATCACTTGACTTAAAATATTTTGCCCTTCCTTGCCTTTAAAGGAGTGCTCTTTGCCGTGCTGATGTTGCTACATGCCTTACTTCTTGTCTATCTCACAATGCGAATTTTTTCTAAGTTCTATACTAAACATTAAATCTGTTGCGAAAAAAGAACTAAACAAAATGAACACAAAACGATCAGCTTTAAAAAAAAGGACTCGTAACTGGAAAAACCGAATGAAAAAAGAATGTTAACAACAAATACTTTTTCACACCCAACCCAGTTCTGCGTAATCAGAATCAACGTTGAGTTTAAGCAAGCGAATGAGCCAATTGGAGTAAAGTGGCATGCATATTTAAATTTTTCCCACTTGTGACGAATGCAGCTATCGATTTTTTTGCATGCTAGTTAACATTCGTGTCAGTCAGCTGTTGGCTCTCACGCTGGCCAGTAGAATCTTCCTGACTATTTGTGGCAGCCAGCTATAGGCTCTCACTCTGGCCAGTAGAAAATGGTCGCAAACTACATGAAAACTGCTGTAGAAGCATGAAAAAATCGATTATTTCCACTTTCGATGGGCGTTGGGAAATGCAAAGTCGATCTTGGCCTTCTCGCTAGGAATGTTCACGTAAATTTTGGTGCAAATTCGTTGAAAATTGCGGCTGTGCATTCGTTACACACACACACACATCCTACCTTATATATATATATATATATATATATATATATATATATATATATATATATACACTGGATGTAACAGCAAAAATGTCCAAATTGTGTAACAACAACATTGTCTAATTGTTAGATTTAGATTTTAACTGTTGTATCTTAGAAGTGATTGAAGCTATCTTACTGGAATTTGGATGAAAATACCTTATTGGAGATTTTTAGAACACTATTGCACCCTAATTTGAACAATAAGAATTTATTTAGCTCTAATTTGAAATGATTATTTCTTTTGTTGTTGTGAGCACCTGATCAACTGTTTTTCTCCACTGTTCCCCCTTTTTTAAACATATTCAGCTTTCTCTTGATGGTTCTTGAATGGACATTAAAGATAGAAGCCAGAATATGAACGTTGACAGCATTACTGAAGTCCTGAATGATCTTTTTTCCTCTCACCGTTTCTCAGTTTTAATTATTTTTTATAAAAATAAAAAAATATAACATAAATATGTTATAAAATCACTACAAAAATAGCAATTTTGTTTCAACACCCTAGGTGTCTTATCTCGTGATGATGTTGTATTGGAACTCATTCCGTATATACCAATTATATTCTTGGGTATATATATATATATATATATATATATATATATATATATATAAAGAAAGAACAGTAAGATATATAATTCGGTGTTCTTATAGATATTTTTATTTTTACAAAATAGTGCTCAATGTAAATTTACAGAGCATTAATATTATAAATTAATTGGTATAAAATATGTTTTTTTTCGCTACACAGTTCTAACCATGTTTCAAAAATGGAAGCTAAATGGCCCGAATTTAATTTTGTAATTAAATTGAAGATGTTAGTTCCATTTCATCCTCAAGCGAATTTTGGAGTAACTTTTAAAATTACTGTGTTTTAAAGACACAACTGTTAATTAATTTATAGTATGTATATATATATATATATATATATATATATATATAGAGAGAGAGAGAGAGAGAGAGAGAGTTATGATTTGTGGTACAAAATTTCATGACCGCCATAAAAAGACAAAATTTATTTTTATTACCACTCATGATAATGGTAAAAAGTAAACCTGAAAAATACAATTATATCTTGGTTAATAAATTGTAAAGAGATGGACAATATGTATTAGAAAACATTTCTTAAATGGAAATTAGTTGGAGACCCAGTACGAAATCCTTCTGTTTACACAGAGAGGGTTTCAAAGATAAAATATAAATGGCCTCCAAAAACTTTTAAGTGGTAATTCGAGTGGGACTTGCTAAGAATAGTAGATGAGTCCATACTGAAACTAGTAGCAAAATTATGGCTATTTATTAGGTTCTCTACGATGGAAGATCCATATGTATTGGTCAGAATGTCTGAAGGAATGTGCATAAGATGGCGGACTTTCGTTGGAATGTGTTCCTTTATTCTGGCATCCAGCCTTTGAATCGTTCTCCCTATGTAGCGAGAAACCACAACTACATTTAAAAGAATAAATTAAAGAAATATTATGATGTGAAGGGAAGTCTCACTCGAATTACTACATAAATAAAATTATGGACCACAAAACATATCTTTATATATATATATATATATATATATATATATATATATATATATATATATATATATATATATACAGTAAAGTAAGTAGAAAATTCAAACAGATTTATAATCCACAGTTCTTTAGCATTTATTTTTAAAAACGATGCTCGATACACAAGAGTGCATAATATATATATATATATATATATATATATATATATATATATATATATATATTAGATAAAAAGTAAAACTGAAAAAACGAGCCAGCTAGCCGGTTTCGAATCTCGCTCAACAGAGCTAAATCGAAGTTAATAAATTATAATAGAATTATCACTAAAAAGGGATGTATTAAAAAAAATTGTTAGATGGAAATTAGTTTGACACCCAGTACGAAATCCTGTTTACACAGAGAGGGTTTCAAAGATAAAATATAAATGGCCTCTAACACTTTCTAGAGGTAATTTCGAGTGGGACTTGCTAAGAATAGTAGATGAGTCCATACTGAAACTAGTAGAAAAATTATGGCTATTTATTAGTTGGTCTACGATGGAAGATCCATATGTCAGAATGTCTGAAGGAATGTACTTAAGATGGCGGACTTTCGTTGGAATGTGTTGCTTTATTCTGGTATCCAGGTAACTATACTCGTTTCGAAAAACCTTCGAACTTTTGATTTGCCAATAATCGAATCAATCTCGAGGGAAAAAACGGTTTTAAAAAAAGAAAGAGACAGGAACATGAAAGTCTGTCGAAAAAATCACACAGATACAGGTTTAAAGCCCAAAGAAAAACCCCGACACGAGTAAACAACTAACTAACAAAAGACCTCAATACAACCGTAGAGCAGACCTAGATAAACCTAGTGAGCCAGACAAACCTACCTAGGTTTCACCTAAGCGGATCGTCAGGGAAAGCCGGCTAAAGTGGAAATAAGAGAAAGAGCATATTTATAGGCGATAATCAAAATCATACCACGTGACCAAAGAAAAAGAAAACAACACAAGAACACCGGTGTGTGTGTGTGGGGGTAAAGATTTATTCAAAAGACTAAAAGGGGAGGGGATATTAAACACGAAAAATAAAGGTGGAATGACAATAGAAACGGGGAGATTCGTATATATATATATATATATATATATATATATATATATATATATATATATTTGGTTGGATAGATGTGAGTTTGTTAGCTCTATCTCTGATATTGAGCGCTTTCTAATAAAAGTACCGCATATATAATATATAAATAATTATACATATATATATTTATTTATATTTATATACACTTTTCACACACACACACACACACACACACACATATATATATATATATA